ACTTTTTGTAGAAACCAACATTTTGTGGTAGACATTCAAGAGTAATCTTGTAACAGTTCAGTTTCTTGCTTAGTAAAGTAAGAGTTGATAGTAATCTGAAATTTCAAAAAAAGGGAGACAAACATTAATCAGAACATTTTTAACAATGTGAATTCTTACATAAAAATATACTTTTTAGTTGGAAATGGTTTGAGATCATGTCTTTTCTAAGAATTTGTTAACATTAAAAAGACTGTCTACCTTTGTAAAAGAATAGCCGAAATTATTTCATAAAACAATTTATTCCTGCAGCTGAGGATTTATCTCATGGTAGAGCACTTCCCAACATGTACAAGATTTGGGTTTTTGTTCTAAAGCTACTATTCAAATTAGAGGTTTAGCATTCTCAATAAAATAGGCACTTCACAGCTTTGTTCTTTGTTTTTTTTTGGGGGGGGGTTGTTTTTTTGGCCCAACAGCTTTGTTGTTACCACTTTTTTGTTTTTGGTGCCAGTCCTGGGGCTTGAACTCAGGGCCTAGGCACTGTCTCTGATCTTTTTTGCTCAAGATTACTGCTCTACCACTTGAGCCACAGCTCTACTTCTGGCTTAAAATTTTAGGTGCTTTATTGGAGATAGTCACATGGACTTCCCTGTCCAGGATTTAAACCACAGTACTCAGATCTCAGCCTCCTGAGTAGCTAGGATTACAGGGGTGGGCCAATGGCACCCAGCCTTAAATCCTTTTTAATGCTAGAATATGAGTTTTAGAATATGGATCCGGTTACTATGGATCAGGTTACTCAAGATGGGTCTAATATGATGTGGACATAAAGCAAAACAGTATACATCTTTATAAATGCTTAATCATAACCTCATATAAAAATGTAACCTAACTGTGATAAGAGATAAAAACTAGGAGTGTTCATTTACTGTAGGGTTTGTTAATGTTTAAACAGACTTTTTTTAGTCATGGGGTCTGGGCATTATCCCCAAACTTTTTTCAATCAAGACTAGTGCTGTACCACTTTAAGCCACAGTGCCTCTTCCCAGTTTTCTGATGGCTGATAGGAGATAAGAGTCTCACAGACTTTCTTGCCCAGGATGGCTTTGAACTGTAAACCTCAGATCTCCAGAGTAGCTAGGATTACAGGCATGATCCACTAGCACCCAGCTTTGTAAAAAAAAAAAAAAACAAAAAATACCTTTTTATCATTTTTTTTTTCTTTTTTGCCAGTCCTGGGGCTTGAACTTGGGGCCTGGGCACTGTCCCTGAGCTTCTTTTTGCTCAAGGCTACCACTCTACCACTAAGCCACATTTCCCAGTCCATCTTCTATAATATTGAAAACCTTGATTGAACAAGTTAGGACCTGCCAAACTGACTGGAACACTAAGTTGGTCTACTTTGTTCACCAAATACCTAGATTAGTATTGGTGCATACGTCATGCTTAAAAATTCAAAGGAGATCATAAAATTCTCTTATAAGATAGTCACTAAACTTATGCAATGTTAATAACAGTTAGACATTTCCTTAGGGCACATCATCTGACTTGCTCCTTTGTTTCCTATTAATAAGGGAACTCAAAGTTAACTTTAAGATGTTACTCTTGGGAATGGAGTATACTTTCAGTTTTCAAATTCTGAGATGAAACTATACTTTAGAATGAGAATGAATTCACAATGAAGCTCAGAACAGGACATGTTTTAAAATGAGACTATTGGGTTGGAGATATAACTCAAGAGTAAAGCAGGTACCATGCAGAAATAAGGCTCTTGAGACAATTCTTAGCATCCCAAGAAAACAAAAAACTTCATAAAACAACATATTGGCAAGAAAAAAGTAATTGAGGATCTACTTAGCCCAGGGTTACCTTGTTTCGGCTTACTTACAATTTGCCAAGCTGTTTTCCTCTGCATTCATCACTAACAACAACATCTTCCACTCTTCCTCTCTGAAAATATTTAATATGTTAAAACTGAGCATCTATTCTTGTTGAAAGCTAAACCAACAAGTCATTAAATAAGAATGACTATCATACAGATAGATAATAAATCAAAAGTGATAATCATTTTAACTGTATTCCCAATTCCCTAACCCATTGTTCTAAAGCAAATCTCAGAATTCTTATCACCATAATTTTGTATAATTTTGTCATAAACAATATGTCCATCATTCTAGTCCTTGCTTAACAGCAATTTATTACAGACATCCAAGTAAAATTTCCCATTTCTAGCATAGAAACTTCATTGGTAAGCATGCTGGTAATCCCACTCAGGAAATAGAGAAAAGAACATTGCTGTTTCCAGCCTTGGCACAGAAGCTCAGACTTGCGTGTGGCTCAAATCATTAAGAGTACTTGTGTAGCATGCACCTGAATTTAATCCCTAATACCAAAAATCAAACGAGCTCTCCCCCCCATACACAAATTACAGAATGCCATTTTCTAAATATCCCTATCTTTTATTCTGTTATTTAGTGTCTCTCCTTTGGTTTTACTCTTGGATGTGAGCTCATGAAGGGTGAGAAAGGGCACTGTATATACCAGAAATGTCCAAATTGGAACAGATTAAAATGTTCTACAAGCTTTGCCACCCAAAAAATAGTGTTTTGTTTTTGAAAAAAATACTTAACATTAAGAAGTAAAAAATTACCCCATTGTTCTTAGTTAGAAAAACCAGGAATTGTGCAGGGTTGTTTTTTTTCTATGATTATTTTAGCAAATAATTTATATTAGTAACACTTTTACAATTTTCAGAAATTGTAAGAGGAAAAATGCCTGTCGCTGACAGATTGCTCAGAATCAATGAGAGAAGTATTAACACAATTTGTCTAATGAAAAGTCAATTATTTTTGCTAGAAAATACTTGCCTACTTTACTCATGAGCATTAATAAGAGAACATACCTTAGCACAGGAATGGATGAATTTATGTTCTATTATCAGAGTTGCTGTAGCGACAATCTGTCCTAGGGTCACATCTTCTACAACTGTAACATAATAGTCCCCAGATTTCCTCATACGCTCAAAAGATTCTGTGGAAACGGTCAGTATTGATTAGACTGTAAAATAAGACACATCCAGCTATTTTCCTTTTTTCTTGGTCCAAAACCATTACTGACACTTTTGCTCATTGACTAGCACTCTACCAACTGAACCATGCCTCCAACGCCCCCCCCCATCTAGCTATTTTAAATGAGCAGTACAATACAGACCAATTTTATGTTGCCATTAGTATAATTAAAACCTCAATATTTTCATTACTTATCTAACACTCAACAAAACTCAAATAAGGCAAAACTTCAAATTTTAACAAGCAGTGGTTATATCCTGTAATTTGTAGTCTTGGTTTCAAAATGTTTTGACCAAAGTTTTTTTTTTTTTTTTTTTTTTTTTTTTGGGTCCAGTCGTGGGGCCTGAACTCTGGGCCTGGGCGTTGTCCCTCAGCTCTTCAGCTCCAGGCTAGCGCTCTACCACTTGAGCCATAGCGCCACTTCCGGCTTTTTGCTTATGTGGTGCTGGGGAATCGAACCCAGGGCCTCAGGCATGCAAGGCAAGCGCTCTACCACTGAGCCACCTTCCCAGCCCACTCTGTACAGTATTTTCACACACACACACACACAAATCCTATAAATTTACCCAAGAAAAATGTACTTCTACCCTCATTTCCAACCTTCTTAAAGACTAGTCTTATGTATTCTAAATGACAATTTTACCTTTGCTCATTTAAAATTCCTTTTTGAAAGCAACAGTTATATTAAAGTCCTGTGAAATATTATGAAGTACAAATATATATATATATATACACACACACACACGTCATTTTTCTGGTCAGGGTTTCATTTAGCCTGTTGGCCAAGACAGTTCCCTGCACAATTGTAGCCAAACATATGTTCATTGGAATTAAGTATCCTAGTTTTTTTTTTGGTCAGTGATGGGGCTTGAACTCCAGGCCTGGGCGCTGTCCCTGAGCAGTTCTGCTCAAGGCTAGTGCTCTACCACTTTGAGCTATGGCTCCACTTACCATTTTCTCATGGTGAATTGGAGATGAGTGTCTCACTGCCTTTCCTGCCCAGACTAGCTTTGAAAATGCAGTCCTCAGATCTCAGCCTCCTGAGTAGCTAGGATTACAGGCCTAGGTCACCAGCACCTGGCTATCCCAGTGGTTTGTTTTTTTTAAACAAGATAAAAAGGAGTCCAAAAGTTTTAACAAATGATTAACAAAATATTTGTGGAGGAAACAATGTTCTTTTTTTTGGGGGGGGGTCCAGTCGTGGGGCCTGAACTCTGGGCTTGGGCGCTGTCCCTCAGCTCTTCAGCTCAAGGCTAGCGCTCTACCACTTGAGCCACGGCGCCACTTCCGGCTTTTTTCTTATGTGGTGCTGAGGAATCGAACCCAGGGCCTCAGGCATGCAAGGCAAGCACTCAACCACTGAGCCATCTTCCCAGCCCAGGAAACAATGTTCTAATCAGAATTTACAAATGAATGTTAGTCCATACCTCTATTTAAGTCAGCAGTACAAAGAGGCCTCAAAACCAAGCCTTCTCCAGGGTGTGTTGGAGAAATAGCTGGAGAAAATGTAGCTGTATTCTGA